CGAAAAAAAATTATATTTAAACCTCCTAATGAAGAATCATTTATAAGCTAATAAAAGTTTTAAATATTAGTTTCTCATAGCAATTTTCTTATTACATAGCACTTTAATTCGACTGTTTTTTCTAACTAGGCAAATTTAAGAAAAAAATTTATATTCGAGAGATTTTGGTAGTTCGAGACTTTCTGGATGTGTTTCCTGATGAACTATCTGAATTGTCAGTGGACAGAGAAGTTAAATTCACCATAGATCTTCAGCCAGACACCCAGCCTATCTCGGTTGTCCCTTATCGCATGAGTTTTGTTGAGATAGAATAGTTGAGAAAACAGATCAATGAATTGCAGGATAGTGGGTTCATCCGATATAGTGTGTCCCCTTGGAGTGTTGAAGTGACATTTTCAAGCAAGGGGGATGGAAAGTTAAAGTTATATATTAACTACAAAGGACTAAATAGGGTCACAATCAAGAACAAGTACCTCATCCCGAAGATCAATGACCTTTTTGATTAGTTGTAGGATGCCCAAGTCTTCTCTAAAATAGACCTGCATTCAGGTTACCACCAGGTAAAGATCAAGGCAGAAAACATTCCCAAAATAACTTTCCAAAGCAGGTACGGAGACTATGAATTCCTAGTCATGCCATTTGGACTAACCAAAGCAGCAACCATCTTTATGATTTGATGAACAGGATTTTCAGACAATTTCTGGATCAGTTCATCATTGTATTTATTGATGATATCCTAATCTGTTCAAAAAGCAGAGAGGAACACACTCACCATTTGACTTAGGTTTTGCAGGTTTTCAGAGAAAAAAAATTGTATGCAAAATTGTGTAAGTGTGGGTTCTGACTCGAGAAGATTACTTTCCTAGATGTCAGCCTCCCATCGGAGAATAAGAGCTAGTTGCCGGAGAAAGGAGCCGATTGTTGCTGCACCGGAGCCACCTCCGATTGCCAAAAAAGGTAAAAATTCTCCTATCCGCTTGAAATTTGATTTCGAGCACCCCTGTGGCCATATCGGGCAAAACAAACTGCGGGTGAGCCGGAAACTGCGGGCAAAGTCTGGCCTTCACAGGGAAAATCCGCAACCTCCTCCGATGTGCAACTTTTCATTTCCCGTTTCGTGCAATTTTTCCACTGTTGTGTTCACTGTTCTATTTTCTACAGGTTGACCAAAGAAAAACTTTCAGCCGTGAAGGTGAGCCGCAGAGCCGCCACACCTAGAAAACCCCACCACCAGTAGGTTTCTGTTTTCTAATTTTTTTGGCCAATCGAGACCCCATAACATATTTTTTCGCAGGGATATATATAAAGTTGACCCAAACTAGCTAAAATCGGTCGAAAATTGCTAGGCCGAGGCAAACTACCGCCGCGGGCGGTGGTGGGTTGCTGGAACACGGTGGTGCTGCCGTGCTGAAACCCCAAAATATGCCGAGAATAATTTTTTCACCAATTTTGGATTTTTAGTGTATTTTTAGGTATGTGACAAGTGTTTTGAATTTCGAATGGATAATTCAGGAAATCTGGAGGCCACTAGTAGGTGCAGTAAAAAGTGCAGTGTTTCAGACACCGATTTGGGTAAGGATCCCTCACTCTTTTCTCCATTACGGTAAACTGAGGATTAATAATTAATAATTATATGTTTTTATGAAAAATTAGATAACTTTAAAAATAATTACAGGTCGCTAATGGAGCCTAAACTGGTTAGTTCACAATCATTTCGATTTCTTATTTATTTTCCTGTATTGCCTGTATTTGGTTACTATTATACTATGCGTAACTCAATTGAATTTTTAGGGTCTTTTTGGTTATTTAGTTATTTGTTTCTCCTGTATTGTGTGTTCGTATTTCGGTCATTGGTTATTTGGTTGTGTTAAACTATATTGTTGTTTAAGTGAATGGAGAGTATAAAATGAGATATAGTTTTTGTGTAGTTGATTGTTATACTGATAAAAATCTGTATGGGAAAGAATTACTGGGTATCTGAGAAAAAACGGACGGGTCCGGTACACAGGGAACCCTACTGTGAATGTTACTTCAGTCGAACGGGGTTGGGAAGTCCCTTACCAGTAAGGTTTGGGAGATATGATTCACCTTCATACTGGATGGGGTATCGAAGTGGTAGAATATTTGGCGCTCATTACCGGATGGGATATGGGGCCGGTTAATTGTTTAATTGGATATTGGGTTCACGAGTAGGATGACATCCCTATGGACCCTTAAGGGTACTGGTAAGCAGGTAAAAATGTAAAATAATCTTTCTTGTTATCTTCTATGTGATAAATAATAGTACATAAATATGAATTTTCAAAAATTATAATTGGGAAGGACTTGTTATACAAATATGGAATAAATGGCTTTCTTTATAGTAAATGAATTTACATTAAATTAAGGGTTCCATTGGTGGTTTTTCTGATTTCTACCAATCTTTAGTTTTTCGTATATGTAATTAGTGTGATATTCTTACTAGAATAGTGTAGCTCACCCTTCATTAACCATTTCATATGAAGAGGACCAAGATCCAAATCCCGATCAACAAGGGGATTGTGTGTAGTTCACCACCCGGACTCCCTTCAAAAGCTAGTGAAGTTCGTTCTAGGATTGCTTAGTTATTTATCTTTCATTTATTTCTTTTATTTTCGTTTGTTCTTTTAGAATTGATATTCTCATAACCCTATTGGGCATTCTAAAGTATTGTGTAAGGAATGTAAATCCTAAATCTATTATTTTTGCTTTTGCATTTCATTAATGACTTTATTTCTATTTAAGTTTTGGGCTTCTACATAAAATTTTCTCCCCTTCCACTCGGAATTAGATTTCACACCTCTCCACACCCATATTGGAGCTAAAAGACCAAAGGGTAAGTCAAAAATCGCGAGCGAAGCTCGACTAAACCGCCATAGCCGCAACCCAAAAACCCCACTGATGAGCCCTTTCTGATTCCTGTTTTCTTCGAGTCTTTGATCAATGTGTTCCTCATCTCTTTTTAGTGTAGGATAGCCGAAGAGAAACCCCAACCGCAAGAGAGGAACGACGGAGCCACCGCACCGAAAAAACTCCTGCGCCAGTAGGGTCTCGATTTTCTCCTTTTTCGGCCGACAGAGGCCCCCTAACCTTGTTTTTTAGAGGTTCCCATTCAAAACCGGCCAAAACTGGCCAAAAACAGTCAGGCCAAGAGGAAGCACCATTATGGGCAGCGGAGCCGGCGCTGGAGCACTGCGGCGGCAACGTACCAAAACCCTAAACCGATCGAAAAAATTCAAAAATGCTCATTTCAAACTTTTTGAGGTATTTTGGGATACGTGACGCATATTTTTGATTTCTGTTAGAAAAACTCAGAAAACCTGAGAACCGCCAGGAGGCACAGTGAAAAAGAAGGTGTTTCAAACGTCGATTCAGAATAAGAATTCCTCACCCTTTTTCTCCCATTATGGTAAATTAAAGTCTAATAACTAATAACAATGTGTTTTATAAAAAATTAGAAATCCCTAAATTAATTACAAGTAACCAGTTGAGCCAAAATTAGTCAGTGTATAATTGCCCTAGCTGTGTTTATGTTCTCGTATACTGTCTAAATTGCTATTGTTTATTTATTTTAATTATTTTCTCGTTCATTGATTGTTTAACTGATTATTCTCACTTGTCAACTGATTCGAAGCAAACTCCCTAATCACGTTTTTTTTTTATTTTCATATTGTCTATTTGCATAACTTACTGTTGATCTGTAAATATGATATGTTAGTATGTAATTGGTAATTTGTTGATGATGTGGATATATGTATGAAAGGTTTATCAGGTACCTTGGAGAAGGGTATACGGACCCGATGAATAGGAAAAATCTTACCATTGACATTATCTCAGTTGAATGGAGCTGAGAAATCCCATACCGAAAGGGGTTGGGAAGTGCAGTTCACCCTCATACCGGACTGGGTATTAAGGTAGTGGTATGTTTGACGCTCATTACCGGACGGAGTATGAAGATGACCGATTAAATGATAAATTGAATATTGGGTCCACGAGTAGGGGGGATCCCTATGGATCCCTGGATGTACTGGTAAGCGAGTAAAAATGTAAGTTACTGTTATTGTTCATTTAAATGTGAAATATCCTGATTATTGTCTTCATATGTTGGTTTTGAAAACTCATAAAGGTAAATATGGGAATAACGGTTTTTATGTTAAACGAATTATTTTAAAAAAGGTAATGGTTCCATTCATTGTTTACGATTTTTACCAACCTTTAGTTTTACGTATCGGTGCTAAGCATGATATTCTTACTAGGTTAATATAGTTCATCCCCTTATTTAACAATTTTTCATATCAGAAAAATTAAGATCCAGATCTTAAACAACGAAAAGAAGGTTGCGAATAAAGTTACTTCCTACATCCCATCAGAGTTGCCCGGCAGAGTTTAATTCTATAAGATCTTTAGTTGTGTTTTTATTTATTTATTTATTCCATTATTGAAAATTTTCTCAAAGAGATATTCATATAACTGTATTAGATATTTCGATTTATTGTATGAAGAATATAAACTATAAACTCTTAATTACTTATGCCTTTACAATATATATTTATTTTCTTTGAATTTTAAACTTCTCCAATACATCAAAAGCCCATTGCACTATTGCACCTCATAGATTTTCTTAAACAAAGAATGGCATTAGTCATTTGAAAGTTATATTAAGGCTATGATTAAATAGTTCCAAATATGTTAAATCTTATTTACATGAAAAAGTGATATTAATTTAAATTAAAATAAATATGAGCTAATTTTATTTTCCTTTTGTTACATCAGAAAACATATTTTAATTTTAAAATAAAATATAAATTTATAAAAAAAAACAATTCTGCACAAATTGAAGATTTATTCAACACGGTGCCTAAATGAATGTTCATAATAAAATGTTCTTAGCATAATGGTAAAAAGATAGCACTGGTGTCATGCCACGTACATACACACCGTCAGAAACAACAGACATCCATTGAATGCTTTTACGGCGATAATGGCAAGTGGGCAATTTTTCTCAACGTGGTCTCATTGTACGCTTTTTTTAAAAGAAAAAGATAATTGTATTTGACAGTACTGATAATTTAATGGAGGAATGGAAGGCCATTGCCGGCATCTAAGACAATGAGATGAAACAGCCGGATCTACCCAGTACAAGGCTTATTTTCCTCTTTGCTCCCAGAAGAATAAATTTTAAATGAATTTAAAAGCAAGAGAAACTGAAATAGTTACAATAATTTCTATCACAGAAACATCTGTTTCTTCTTTTGGCGGGCGGGGGATACAAACTGTACACTCAGCTTCCAGAAATTTAAAACGTTGTCGTGTGGGTGATGGCATGTTCCCAAATCAGGGTTATAGAAACGTGTTTGCTGCGATTTGGTCAACTCTTTGTTGCAAAAATGAGAAGTTGATATAGAGAAATTCATATTTCAAATATACCAGAGGAGCAGAGCGCAATGATTGGGCTTTCAGTCATTATTCTGATGCCTACAATGTAAAGCATATTTCACAACTTCGTAAAAGGAAACAACTATGCCAACAGAAGGTCCTGTTCGAGCAACTCGGGGACCAATCCCCGTAAACAATCCCTTTATTCCCCTGTCTCTGTACAGCAAACCAAAAGTTACTGAGAGCTGAAGTTCGCCCATGGATTACAGTGTAAGAGCTAAAAAGGAATCTTATTCATCAAAATAAATTTTAAAAGACTCGTTAAATATAGGGATCAACTAGAGTTTGACCAAAAAATAAAATATTTATAAAAAACAATGTTGATCTGTTTAAACAAAAATTATGTCAAACCTCGCCTTTATCAAGAGTTAAATATAGTGTATGGTTTAGGCATTTCCCACTAACTATGCTTCTGCTGTTCATGGAAAAAAAACATAAGCCTAAAGCCTGGCCAAACGGGCTAAAGATAAAAAAACATGGCCCTTTAAATGGAAACATCAGCCATTCTGTAGTAAGCCTTGATAAGCCCAAGACCATAAGGCATGAGCAAATCATTGTCTAAGGATGTCCTTCATAAAAGTTTCAAACTGGCAATTTTGAACTCAAGGCTTCTTTCCTTGCCCCACAATCTCTTAAATTGAGCAACCTCCAGAGGAAGTTCATTAAGGCTATGTTGGAATAATTGTGGAATTCATTTATTCTAAACGTAGCATAAATAGAATATGGTACAGGTCTCTTAATTAGGGACAGGGAAAATGTACAAATAGGTGAACCATCAGACAAGACCTAGGCGAGAGCAATTATGTACTTCAAACAAAAGAGAATGACATCCAGAAAAAAGAACACAAGCGAAGAGAACAATAGAAAAGAAAGCTAGATACCTCCATATTTCTACCAATGTTGTTCTCGTGGTCATTTCTAATGCTCTAGCTGGATCTGTCTGAAAAATTACAGAAGGAACAATGTTATTCAAGCTACTAAAAGCAAATAAACATACATATTTTATTGAGATCAAGAAAGAACAAATAAGAGAAACATATAGGTTGATGGAGCTTGGTTTAGGGAACTGACCTCTATCTGCCGTCGAGTCTTTGCTACGTCCAGAGGGCAGGTAGCAGCAGCAGAAAGACTTCCTGCAATAAAACCAGCAGAGAAATTTGCCGCAAGAACACTGCTTACCGTGGTTTCATCAGTCATCTGAGAAAGTATTTTTCTTCTTATCTGCATTAAGTGGAAGAAGAAACCATTACCAAACTGTATTCTCTCCAGGACCAAATGTATTCAAATAGCAACACTTCTTTGACTGCAGGAAGGAATGGAAGTTTGATAAACTCACTGGCTCAAGGGTTGACCAGCAGATGGCAGAGAAAGGAACGTCACGAGCAAGTTGTGCTCCAAGACCCGTCCATAAGATGCGGTAGCTTTGTACTGCGAGAGGGAACATCGGTAAGTAGACTGCAAAGCAACTATAAAACCACAAGTGCCAAATACTCATAACATTTTTCCTTAAGAAAGGAAGCGAAGCATAGGAGGGCTCGTCAGTCGTAGTCAAACAACCTATAAGCTGATGGCTGAACCATCAACCTTCAACAACTTATAAAACATACATAAATCTATATTTAAAGAGAAAAAGAAAAAAGAAAGAAAAACTAACAGCTTTGTACGTTATTTGTGCTCCTGACAGGATTGACAACCCCAACTAGTGTCTTCAAGACTCCAGGAGGTTTTGCACCTCTTTGGGTTTCTTTGAATGCCTAACATAAAGAAGATAATATAAAAAATATATAATTAGACTGAAAATTGATTTCAGCAATCTCTCCTTGTGAAAAGCATCAGAGAAAGGTAATAATTTGTGCAGTCTGAATCGGATAAGTATTCAAGCATAACCGAAAATGCTAAATATATCAATAAGAAATGAATTTTGAATGCTTTCTAAAGCAAAGATAGGGAGCTATCATTAATCCGCAGTATCGTTGTAAAAACAAATTAAATGAGGATGTTGCATATAACATCTCACCTGCATACGGGTCCTTGCCAGTTCAACAGGATAACAGGTAACACAAGCTAATGAGCGTGCAACTGTTCCTGCAACTAATGGGACATATGGTGTCAAGACTGAAGCATTCCTGTTTGTGAAATCTTCCATTAAATTGCGGAAAATGTCATAACAAGGCAAGTAGATCCCAACCTAATTATCAAGAAAAAAATGAAAGTCCATTAAACTGATCAAAACATGTGAATTACATGTCAAATTGCTCCATTTCATGGGTAAGAAAAGGAAAAGCAAAATACAGATACACACACAAGGGAAGACAGAAGCCTTCACTAAGAGACTCACAGTTGGTACAGCCAATGCTAAACTTGCATTTGTGCCTCGCCATAGTCTGGTAAATCCTTCCTGCATAAATTTGTTCCTGTGACGCTCTAATAATAAGTGGTTTGTACACTAGTTGCAATAATATCATAGAAATTGTACATGCATATGACCTAGTGACATCTATATATGAGAGGGAAAAAAATATCTGAACAGAACCTAGACACCTCATTATTGTATAATACAGTCAAATTATGAAATTTCAGCAAACTTTATAAGTTGACGAACTGACCAACCTGACGAATGACTTTGTAGAAGACATCTAGAGTTCCTTTGTACCGGTTACATTCTGCAGGACAAACTGATTCAGAACCAAAAACTTTGGGTGTCCCTGAGGGGTGATTTCTTAAATCTCGAAACATCTAAAGAAGAAATTCAATAGAAAAATTCAGCACATGTTTGACAGAGGGGCAAGATTAAGCAGCAGTATTTTCACCATAAAAAATGAAAAGCAAAATTCTATTTGTTCAATATGATATCAAAACTAAAAAATCTAGAATTTGAATCCTAATTGCCGTTCTATATTTGATTTAAAAAAAAAATAAAATTCAGCATAATACAGAGAAGATTGAACTTAAGCTTTTAGGAAAATCTTTTAATTCTATCGTCTAAGACCTGCCCAACATAAAGAAATTAATGAAACAGAAGTTCGCTCACCATATTTGTTTCAGAACAATTTGTAGAACATATGCCTTGATAAGGAACTCCCGCAGCTTGTGCCTGCAACCTAGTCTGTAGGTAAATAACAAAATTCACTAACAAGACAAACTTCAAAGTTGAAGGAATGAAAAGCAAGAAAGTGAAGGTTCTATTTCAAGTATACAAAATGAAATTGCAAACATTACATTAGCACTTCTTTCCTCATTGAAAAGAAAAGGAATTTATACGGTTCTCTGTATCTATTCTTTTTCTTTTTTTTTTGGCAATGAATCAACTACAGCCTTAATGAAGAGACAAGGAATCCGTGAAAAATTAACAAGCTGCTTTCATGAAAGAAAATCTTAGGTTATGTTTGCACGAAATGAAAATGCAAAATAAGAAAATAGAATGTGAAATTTAAGAGAAACTACAATAGACGATTGCCACCATAAGCTCCTCAAAGAAACAATAAGAAAATAGTAATTCTTAGCAATCACGACAATTCAATGAAGTTAAAGAGGAAGTGGTCTAATAAATTTATATACTTTTTTTAAAAAAAAAAAAAAAAACCTTGGCGACATCAAGAGGGTTAACGATGATGGCGGAAATGAAAGCGGCACCGGCAGCAGCGAAAGCTCTCTCTCCAACACCCAAATCGACATTGGAGAGTGCCTCAGGGTTTGAGGAGAATTCTCCTCCGTCACTTTGTTTGGGCATATAATTGTCGTTGGGTACAGAAGAAGCAACGTTACCCTCGATATCAACTCGTGTAACTGCAGCAGCACTTATCCATGAAGGTAGGCTCTGCCTAGAACTCACCATCCCTGCAAATTTGTATCTCCTCTGCAGAATTTTGTTTGATGACGAGAGAAAACTAATAATGAGTCGGGAAATTTCCGATTTGCATGGGGAAGAGGAAAGCAAGGCTGACCCGGCAACTGAGTCGTGGCGTGGAAATAAGGCCGCCAAGGATATGGGGTTTATCTCAGCTGTGCCCGCGGAAGATCACCTCCCTTTCGTCCAACGAAAAAAAATATAAATAATTAATATACAAATGTTTTGAATAAAAATATACATTTACAAGCCTATTGTAATAATATTTAAGATAAATTATTAAATTAATTTTTAAAATTTAATTTGTAACACCAAGTATTTTTAATTTTATTCTTATTATTTTTATTTTTATTTTTTTGTATTTGAATTTTTTATATTTTTATTTGATTTAATTTAATTTAATTTAATTTAATAAAAATAAAAATAATAATAATGATAAAATTTGGTAAAAATATTATTTGGATTTAATTGAAATGGATTTTGGAAAAAAGGGGTGAAAATTTGGATTCTGTGAGTGTTTTTGAAAAGAAAATTAAAAACTGAAGGTCAAAACACAATTTAGAAAAATTGTGCTACGTCACCAGCCACGTCACCAGCCCGGTCAGCAGTCCCGGCCAACCAGGACACGCCGTGTGGCAAGGAAACGCTGACACAAGACAGGTCACGTGGGCGATCCGCGAGCGCGCGATCGGATGGCCCAGATCCGTTCTCCCGCGCACGAACGGCCCAGATTGCATCGCGATGGACGGTCCAGATTTAATCTTGATGGACGGTTGAGATTAAAAGGCAAAGGGTATAAATAACCCCACCTACACTTGACCACAAAACCCTAGTCGCCAGTGCCTCGCCGGAGAAGAAGAACTAGCCGTCGGAGGAGTCGGCTGCTGCCACCCGCCGCCGCACCAGAGAGGTTTCCGACCGCCAATCGAGGTAAATTTTATCTCCTTGGTTCGTTTTTTGATGCTGAGTCCGTCTATGGCCAAACCACCGGCCAAACGGCCAAAAAATCCAGCCGAAGTCCGGCGGCGCCGCCGCGACTCCTCTCTATTTTTGCCTCCGATGAAGCCCTTTCCAGCCTCCGTTCGATGCTAATTTTATACCTATGAGATAATCGTTCATCTTTTTACATGTTGAGGGGACTATAACATC